GGGGGTGCCCCCCTGTTCCACGTCCTGCGTTTTAACTTGGCCCCAGCGCAGAGGAGAGCACGGCTGCCTGCCCCGGCGGCGTGGCCAGCAGCGCAGCCGGCCTCTCCTCCAGGAGGCCCCACGCTCCCTTTCAGCGGCTCCTCTTTGCTGCATCCCAGTTTCTTAGAGCTGCTGAAACCGCACGGAGGAGCAGCAAGGTCTCCACCGAAAATGCTGACTTAAAGAAGAGGGCTTTGCAGCAGCTCTCCCAAGCACTGGTGACAGCAAGCCCTGGCTGAAAAGCGTTAAGACCAGGGCTGGCTCTTCCGCTGTGAAATGCTGCTTTCCCGGATCATACCTGCCTTGCTCCAGGTGTGTTTCCACCTGTTCTGCTGTAACTGTGGGTCCATAACGCAGGAATACTGGTGCCTACTGCATTTACTGCTGTGCCACAAGCAAGGCAGGGCTGACAAGGTGAGCACAGCGCAGAAGGACGAGGGACAAGTGGAAGGTGCAGCAACGAAACTGGGCATACAGGAGTTAAGGCAACATCACAGAAAAAGCATGTTCCTAAGGAGGAAACAGGCTGGGCCCTGGACATTCAGCAGCAGCACCGCAGGCTGGGTGTTCCACCTGCTGTGGCGGCCAGCTCAGTCACAGGTCTACAAGCATCTAGGAAGTTCATCTATAGCTCTGCCTCTCTGGGGGTACTCTGGGGCAGTCCGTAAGTCTCCCTGCGGAGGGGCTCAAGCTCAGTCATCCTTTTATTCTGCATCGCGCTTTATTAGCCAAGTGGAAACTCTCTCTGTGATGCTCCCTTTCATTTTGCACCAGCTGGTACTTGAGCCATCTGACTTCCAGCTTGGCCTGTCTGCACAGGGTATTCACAGCTTGAGTGGGGAAGCAGAGGAACACGTGGCGCCCACTTGCCTCCCATGGAATCTTGTATGCAGTGGCAGAACCGCTAGAAAGCCTAAAGGGTCGGGATACTCAGGCTTTCCTCCTTCCCTTCTCTTTAAATCTCTGAAAACTGGTAGCATAGGGTCCTAGAATAACTTTCGTGGTGTTGCTCAGGAACCACAGGTGACAAGGAGGAACAGGCCGATACGCTTCCCAGTCCCGCACCCAAACCAGCCTCAAAGACAGGTTTGCAGCACACCTCGAGCACACTCACTACAGGCAGCAAGGACCCAATGGCCACTGCCAGAGGCAAGAGATGTACCCCGTCCAAACGGCTGGGATTAGCCACAGCTCTCTGCCAGAGAAGCAGTTTATTATGTAAAGAGGGAAGAAGAGTAACCATCTGACATACCTATAGGGTCATACCCTGCTACCAGCCGAAAGCCTAACACTAAAAACGCTTTAACATTACTAGCACCTTTGGCAGCCTCTGCATCGATACCGAAATGCTTTTCCTGCATCACCTGCATGTCCAGGATTCCTCAGGAGACGATAAGCCCACCTTAATTGTCCTCCTCTTACCAGCACTCCCCCAGTATACCCCAAGGTAGAATACAGTACGATAGTAACCCACCCAAATCCATTCCATCCCCTCCAGCCTGTTGCTCCCACTGCAGCCCCGTAGAAGTGGTAGGGGCAGCTTGCATGCTTTGTGCAGTTTTCTGGCTTGGGACAGGACTCGGGCTCTGGGAGAAAAGTAGAGAGGCAAGGAAGCCACGCTTCCTTGTTATAGCCACATTGGCTATAAAGAAATCATAGGAAGCAGTAGACACAATCTTCCCTTTGCTGCCGTTCTGGGGCTGGCTCCCAAGACTGTGCCTGAAGGAAAGGTTAACCGTCCTTCTAGATGACGGGCTGTAATCCACCTTCCGTCTGATCAGAGCGTTGGTCCCTTCTGCCCTTTTAAGTCTACAACCTTCATTCACCCCTTTCCCCCGTGGGCCCAGGGAAGAGAGGTGCTGCGTTGCCCTCGACACAGCACAGTGCCTGCTCGCGCCTGGCCCGGTGCTTGGGGCTGTACCAACCGGCAGGAAGGGTCGAGCAGGGCCACCCTCTCTGCTTGCTGCTACCACAACCCTGGCCAGGTTCCTTCCCTCACAAATATTGGAGTTTGAGGGGCAGAAGGGACGACTGCTCCGAGACCCCATACTTCGCTGCTGTTTCTTGCTCATAAATTTGAGTCAGACTTGGGAAATTCTCCAGACCAGAACAGCAAGGGTCTTCCTCCTCTGCAAAAGCGTAGTCATCTGGATGCGTTTCACCAAGCAAGGCCTTGTTGTTGGACAGGCATCAGGCATTCTCAAGTCCTCCCTGAACCTCTTGTGTGTCAAGCAGGGACTGACTTTCCTCCTGGGTCTCAGGCAGGACCAGCTATGTGAGATGGGACAGGATCAGAGCCACAAGCCAGACCAGATGACTCAGTGTTTCCCTTTAGTCTTGTATTCTGAAGAACTAGGAATGCAACTGCATGAAGCAGCCCCAAACTTTTTTCTAGGCGTTTTCCCCTTCTAGCCATTACCAGTGCAACACCATCAAAGAAACAGGAAGAAATGGTCTAGAAAATGCCAGAGAGACATAACTCTGCCAACGGAAGGTGACACAGGGCTGCTGTGCCAGATTTCACTAGCCCAGGGCCTCTGCTGGGAGAAATGCTGTCTGGGAGGGACAACCAGTCCACCACAACACAGCCGGATTGCGCAAGCTGAAGCAGAGCAGCCACTGTCAACAGGTATCAACACTGCAGTCCAAGAAGGAGGTACAGCCTGATGCAAGGCAAGGTGCTGAGGAAGAGTCCTGCTGCCACGCAGTAGCCCAGCACCTGGGTACAAAACCCTGCTTGAGTCTAGGGGAATGGTACAGAAGGTGGCTTTCTCCGGAGGAGGTTGTCCTTGACTTCAGCTCTGCTGCCGGCTGTCCCGGGAGCAGTGCAAAGAGCAAGGGGAGCATCACGGACCATAGTGACACTGAAACATATCTATGTTTCAGATTCTATGAGCAGATTCTGTCTATGGAGAGCACAAAGAGGTGTCAGAGGGAAAAGGGAGCACTCACTACCCCTCCACCTGCCCAACCACCCAAGCCAGGCTCGCAGCAAAGGAGGGACAACAAGAACAGTTCACGGTTCCCCAAACCAGACAGAGCAGAGAGAAGGGGCGGCTGGCAAAGGAAGAAACAGAGTGTGGTCCAGAGATTTACACCATCTGTCTCTCAAAGTCAAGGCAGATGGGAGATGGGGCAGAGGCACTTCGGTCCCTTCTGAGAGGTGCTTTAGGGCCCAGCCTCTAACGTAGTGCGCAGCACTGCATTTGTGTGGCAGCATCTGCTCTAGCTAATAGAGACAGCAACAAGACACAAGCTCTGACAGCAGATGCAAGATGGGGCAAGAGGGATCCAGGCCTGGTTCAAACCTCTGAGACCAAAAGGCATTCTGAAACCTCTTAAAAAAATCCTATTAGAAACCATTTCTGCATGGGACACCACAAACACTGCCCGAGTCCTAGAAGTATCCAAAGCTTCTGGACAAACGATGCCCTTGATGAAGCTCTGATGATGGTATCACCCCTGCCCAACAGAGAACAGCAATGCCAGGGACAGTTTGCACCAACCCCACTACAGGTTAAAGACCCTCTTCTACAGCGCTGCACCGCCTCACAGCTGCTGCAAGCCAAGAGCCAGGTATGGGGGGCACCAACATTCAGAGTGAGCGTTTTTCCTTAGACAAAAAAGAAAGGGCATGGAGGAGACTGAGGTTCAGCACAGCCAGACTACAGCAGTCTGGTCAGTTCTTCTTGCTGCTGGGGCTCTTGTTAGTGAACAGACTGACTTTGCTGGCAGATGCCACGGACAGAGAAGGAGACTCCAGCTTCACCTTATCCAACAAAGTCTTCTTTATGGCTGCTGGGGAGATCTTCTCTTGGTCTGCCAGATGCTGCAGCTCCCTGCAATGGGGTGGTGGGAGAGAAAGACATAGAAAAGGAAGAGACAGGGAGTTGGGGGGGAAGTTTTGCAGGCTCTTTAGGACTTCCTAGATGCTCACCTTGTCCGGATGCAGGAAGCCTCCACAGCATTGATTAGGAGTGAGCGAAAGCCACCGCTCTCCAGGAAGTGCAGGGCATGGATGGTGGCTCCCCCGGGCGAGCAGACGTTGTCCTTCAGCTGACCGGGATGCTGCTCAGATTCTAACAGCATTTTGGCAGCACCCTGTAGCGAGGAAGACAAAACAGCTGCCAGAGCTCTGACTGAGGAACTGACTGTCAAATGCTCCTGTTCTCCACTGCATAGAGCAGCACCTAACACTCACAGTGGGCAAAACTGGGCTCCTGCCCGAGAGCCATTAGCAGGCTGCCAAAACACTTTTCAGAGCTGAAAAAGCCTGCAGAGGAGTCACGGTTCCCCAGGCCCCAGCTCCCACACCACCACCAGCGCCAGCAGATTGCTGCAGACACTTCCTACGTCCCGTCACCGGGAACCTGCGTGCAGTCAAACCAAACACGTTTTTTAAAGTAGATTCAGTAAGAGGCCTGAGATCGTTTCAAACGGTGAGAATACTCTGCACAGAGCAGGCACAGCCTCAACGTGTCCTGGAAGAGGAAATACTGACCAGCAAAGCCTGTGCTCCAAGTCGAACAGCCAGCCTGCGGGGAAGTCCCATTTTCACTCCCCCATCCGCCAGAGCATCCAGAGCAGTGAACGCCTGAGACCAGACAGAGGAAGAGGTGACTGAAAGTCTCTACTCCAAGACCGATATTCTCAGGGAAGAGAGAATCCAGGGCTCCAGGATCACACCATGACTCCTATTTCTTACAGACTTGACAAAAGCCTCCCCCTTTACCGCATGGGTGCCATGCCAGGCTTCCCTCCCACTAGTTCCAGCTCAGGAGCGGGGGGAATGGGAGAAATTCAGCTTCTGGGTCGTACTAACTACAGGCCCACGTTTTGCAACGTGGACGCTGCACGCTGGCTATGGACTTCAGACTCATCCGACTGGTAGTGGACTTTTGTTGTTGACCCAAACTGGTTATAAACTGGATACCTGGATTACATGTCCCATCGCGAATGTGAGTGATGAGAAAAACAAGGAATGACAACCTGAAGTTGCACAGACTTTCACTGCATGCAACGCCTACTGCTCTCCCCAAGACTGTCACAAGTTGAGGAAGCAGCACATACATACGCAGGGCCACTGCCACTGAGCCCCGTTACAGCATCTATCAGGTCCTCTTCCACCTCGGTGCAGAAGCCTACGCTGGCCATCAGTTGTTCCAAGAGCTTCCCATCCTCCACATCCGCATGAGTCCCAGTGGCATAGACTGTAGCACCTTCCCGGACAACCACAGGGGTGTTGGTCATGCACCTGATCACTTTTGGTGTGGGACAGAAGGTAGAGAGTTTCTTAGGGCAGAAAATTATTGGAGATAGAAAGAGAATGGGAGAAGGAGAAGGAGAGAGAGCGGGAGAGAGAAAAATGAGCTTTAGTGCGTATTTGGCATACCAAATAGCCTGTCTAGGAAGGGACTCCCCAGGGGCAAGAACAACACAAGCAGAGGGAAAAGGGAGACTCCTGTATTCCAAATTCCCCGCTTCGAGGACAAAGCGGCCAAAACTTAAATGTGAAGTCTTCAGTAGTACCAGCAAATAAAAAGCTGGGCAGTGCTGCTATTGGGAACAATATCCTGAACGCCTCATTCCCACATCAACTCACAAGTCTCCAAAACAGCTCCTGCAGACGCTTAGCACAAAGTCTGCAGAGACTCAGGGGAGATGACCCACCTCTGCTGAGAGAAGGAAGACCTGATAGCACCTCATGTAATAAAGGAGCTGGCATAAAGACTCTTACAGCTTTTTCTGATGAGGACAGGCAAAGGTGACCCAAAGCAACCAGCTGGCTGCAGCATGAATTTAGTCCTGGGGAGCACAAGTAACGCCCGTCCCCCGCATCAACTCCTGGGGGGCTGGAGCAGCGGGACCAGCTCAAGGCCGGCTCCCGCACGCTCCCGCCCTGCGGCAGACGCCTCCCGGGCAGCGGGTGTCCGCAACGGGGCGGCT